CCTGCCGGCTGACGGGTGCCCGGGACCCAGGAATGGAGCTGTGCGTCCCGGGGTGGCGGGGGGGCCGTGCCTCACTGGGGAGCGTGGCGCTGGCAGGCTGTGGTCCCCGTCCCCTCCACTATGGCGTTCTCTGAAGAGGAACATGACAACCACAGGTGACTTCAGAGTCTGGGTGACAGTCCAGAATCATGGCTCCATCACTGACCAGCTTTGTGGCCCCCGGTTCTTCTTCACCTGTGAAACAGGTGTCCTGACTTCTCTGGGCCGCATGTGGCGACACGTAGTTCCCCGCTCCTGTTTACTGGATGCCTGCCGTGTACCAGGCACCGTGCTACGTGTGGGAGCCGCTATACGCTAGACCCAGCTTTCGGATGGGCAGACTGAGGCTCAGGACAGAGGTCACTCGCCCAAGAGCAGGAGGACCGTGATTGGCTGTGCTGGATCTGGAACCCAGCGAAGGCGTCACCCCGGTCGTAACTACCTTATCTTGTAGGTTTGGAGACACCAACAGACCCCAAGCAAACTGACAGCCCATGAGAAAATTCTAGATGGCGTGTGGATCTGGCCGGGCGTTTCCCATTTAGTCGTTAGGAACTGAGTTTAGGTTGGTGTATGGTAAACATACGGTATCAGGAAAAATGGCACCAGCGCCTCGTTGATTTCTGATTGTTATTTAAACGGGGCTCGGTGGTAGAAGGGAGTCGACCAAATACGTATTTAAAATGTGACACGAAGATTTGGGGGAAGTGTGCTGGGAGGCCAGCTGGGAGTGACGTTCGCGTGGCACGTCCCAGGTGTCCTTGGGGCTTTAATGGACTGGGCAAGTGCAGACCCAGGCGCCTCCCGCGGGGCGGGCCTGCTTCCTTCTTCTTCACTCTTTGGCCTTGTAAGGTCACCCGGCTGTTTGAAGGTCAGGGTCAACTCGATTCTAATGAGATCAAGGTCGTGGGGTCACGTTGCTCTCGGGAACCCAAGGGGAAAGTTCACGGGCGGGAGTTACGCAGGGAGAGGAATCTCTCGCCCTTCGTGCAGAGACGGCTCGGGGCGGCTTCCGGCAGCTGACGGTCCAGCTTCGTCCTCAGGCTGGTGCTGACGGGGGGCCAGCCCTTGGCGCCGCTGGACTGTCACAGACCCCCCTCCCTCCCACGGTGTGCAGGGGCATGCCCTGAGGCTCGGGGTGTCCGTGACCTGCCCGGTCACAGCTGTGGGTCGTCTGGACTCTGTTTTACCTAAGATCTCTATATTCTTTTTTTTTTCTCTTGTAATGGAAAACATCTCCTTAGTTTAATGGTCCTCGTGCCTGACATTTCACAGAGGGGATCTGCGGTGTAGCAGGCAGCCTCCTGGTGCGCCCTCCTGGCTCCAGAGACAGGAGACGCAGTGGGGAGTGAGTGAGCGAGGGTGTGTCCGAGCTCTGGGCCTCGCAGGGGTGCGCGGTCCTGATGTCACACCTGCCGTCTGCTGGCCACGGCCCCTGCTGGGCGATGTTCCGATGGCAGAGGCGCGGGCAGAGGGGCCGCCTCCTGTCTGGCAGGCGGTTTGGCAGAGCTGTGCTTATACAGAGTGTGTGACAGGTGCTAGAGGGAGCCGTTCGAAGACCCCCACAGTGACCCGGGCTTGAACCTCTTCAGCGGTGTCAGAGCTCCCGACTCAGAGGCCTTCCTGGGCCTGGACCCCCGGTCTCCGATCCCGGCCTGGGCCTGGTCCTACAGAACCGAGAGGAAAGGGCGAGGAGGCACCTTCTTCGACCTGCTGGCCTCCCCGGGGCGCGCCCCTTGCCCTCTGCTCATCTGGGGACTCCTCCCACCTGACTACCTGTCTGGGAATGTTTATGGCGGCCCACAGAGGCCCTGCAGCTCGGCTGGAATGTGAAGGGCCCTGGCTGAGCCGCAGCCGTGGCTCTGCTCCTTTGGGGCCTGTCTGGGCTTTGGGCTGTCTCGGTGCCCCGAGACTGCCTGGTGGGTTCTGGTTAGAGTGTGGGTGGACCGCTCCCGGAGACTGTGACCTGCAGCAGGAACGGGGTCACTGGCCGATGACGAAGTGTGAATGCCGAAAACGGTCCTGAGGGTGACTGAGGGTGAGGCACTTAGGCAGCCCCACCGTGTCCCTGAGAATGCTGCCCAGCACCCCCGGCAGGGCACACGAGCTTTGGAGGGCGCCTGCCCTGGTCTCCTTGCGAGCGAGTGGCAGAGCGGGACTTGAACCCTAGCAGTCTGGCTGCCGTGCCCCCTAATTATCTGAGCGTGGGCTGTGGGCTCAGCTGAGGGACCGTTACAGCCCCTTACCTATCTGGTCAAGCTTGCCAGTCAGCTGTCGGTCACGGAGAGAGGCGGCGTGCCCCCCGAGAGTGTCCAGGTGAGCAGGGTGGGCGGAGGGGCCCCACTCCTGCTTCTGCAGGCCACCCTGCCAGTGGGTGCTGGGCCAGCAGTGCCAGCCATGCGGAGAGGCCTCTCTGCCACTTCCCCAGGTGGCAGCCTTGGCCCTCAACTCCGCCTTGGGCCAATAGTCGCCGTACCCATCCCCCACTGGCTGTAGGCTTGGTGGCGATCTGGGCCCCTCTGAAGGACAGTGGCCAGAGCAGAGGACGGGGTTTGGAGGAGGGCCAGGCCAAGGGGCACTGGGCACCAGGGACCGTGAGGCCTGGGGCTCCGTTCCTGTCTCCTGGTTGTCCGTGGTTTCCTGCCCCTGGCAGCCCTGTTGTCTGCTCCCATCCCCCCGTAACTTCGTGGGTACACCTGCTCTGAAGTCCGGTCCAGCCTGTTGAGTCCGCCGAGGTAGGGTGTGAGTGGGCACTGAGGCTCCGGACACAGGAAGTGGACGGCAGTGGGGCTGGGTGTGGAGCCCAGCAGCCTGGATCCGACCCCCGCCACCCAGGAGTGTCGCCTTGGGGCCGCTTCCCCCACTGAGCCCCTGTTGCGCCATCTGTAACTGGGGGTCCTAGGAGTCACTGGCTTCATAGGTCGTGAGGGAATCCAAGCTTAGCTCAGTGCCGTGCGTTCTAGACCCTCGAGACATGCAGCCTGCTCGCTGTGAGGACTTGGTCAGTAGTGAGGGGGTCACGCCTGCAGAAGCCCAGGACCCCCACGAGGAGGGTGGGGAGGGTGGGGTGGGAGCCACGTCCAGTGGGAGGAGTTAGGATGGGGCCTTGGGGTGTCTCGCGGAGGTTGCAGGTCGCAGCCCCTCCCAGCCACACCCAGGCTCTGTCCTGCCCATCTGCAGATGAAGTAGAGGTCCAGGGGTCCAGGGCCACACAGTGGGGGAGGCTGTGGCCACCAGAGGTGGGTTTCAGCCCCTCTGTGCGTGTGTCACGGACAAAATCTAGGCCAGGAGATGGTGGCCTGGCTCCGGCTTGTCACCACTGGGGCCTGTCTAGTTTTCCATAGCAGAGTGATGCTTTCTTCTGGGGGAAGTTCCCCCCAGAGCATGGGGCCCTCCCAGCACCCCTGGCAGGAGAACAGTTCTGGGAGTAGGAGACACTGTCGTCCCCTCGGGCCTCACCTGCCCTCCCCGGGCACCCCCTCCACCCTCGCCGCCCGCTGGGTGCCCCCAGCCCAGCCCCGTGCTGGAGGCACCTCTGGATGTGCTGAGGAGGAAGACAAGTCAGGGACGGGGGTCCCCTGGTCCCCTGCTGGCGGGGCCAGAAGGCTGGGTGCGTCGTGCCCTTTCATGCTCCTTTGGGGACTTCGCTGACGGGTCATCTTCTTTGACACTCGCTCCTACCTTTGTGAGTTACTTTAGCATGGTTACTGAGCACCTGCGGTGCCGGGCCCCATGTTCTGGACATGTGCAGCCTGGGGAGGACAGAGGCGGTGGGGGAAGGTACAACCCGACATGTCCGGAGTCCTGCGGGAGACACGGAGAGACAGGCAGGCGGGGAGGGGCCAGGCAGGTGGGGCGAGACAGGTGTGGAGAGACAGGGCAGGCGGGACCTTTCCCGCTCGGCTCCCCCTTCCCGTCCACCTTGTGAACTGGAGCTTTGGTCCCGTGCTACGGATGCGTCCAAATTTATCAGCTGCAGAGGATCTTAGCTCAAATATGGAACTTGAGAGAGAGAGAGAGAGAGAGAGAGAGGCCTCTCCACCGGCCTCTGGAGTGTTAGTCTGGAACCTGTGTGCGCCAGGGACACGTACTTTTAGTTTTTTTGCAGGAGAAATGGATTCGGGGACTCTAGGGCCCAGGTCCTTCTCCGCTGGGACACCAGCCACACTGGCGGTCCTGGTGGCCGGGCCGGCTGGACTTCCACTTACGAAGCTGCGCGGTGCATGGTGCGGCCCTGAAGCTGTTGTCCCCTCTGTTTCTGAGGACAGAGTCCCAGCGGTGGAATCACAGGGCCACCGTGCGCCTGTTGACGGGCTTCTGCTGCGTCTTTCCAAATGGCCCCTCAGCGCTCCCAGAGCCCCGCACAACACCCCGGAGAGATAATTAGCATTTGTCCCTTGTGTCACAATGAAAACAGGATGATGCCTCTGACCGTAAGAAGCGATATATGCTCCTCATTTAACCAGAATTCCAAGAATTTGATAAACGACAAGAATGCAAAGAATTTGATAGATGACAGAGACGGGGCAGGACGCCTGCGATTCCCATGGGGAGATCAGTTTCTTCTGCCGCCGACTTCCCCGCAGGCCTGTCCCCAGGCGTCTGCTGAGAAAGGGCTGGTACCAGGGGTTAGGGAGTTGGGTGCAGCCCCCACCCCCGGCAGCTCTCTGGAGGAGGAAGGAGGCGTCCCCCCCAGGTCGTCGGTGCCCTGTCACAGCTGCGCAGCGTCTCCTCCCTGGGACAGGTGGGTCGGAGGCCGGCGTGGGGACTTCCTGCCGGCGTGGTTCCCTCTGCCGGTCGTGGCGCCGGGACAGTGAGCTTGTGCCTTTGCCCGGAGCCTCGAGCTCTTTTTCTTTCGGTTGGGCTGGTGCCAGCAGTTCCGGCTCAGAGCCACGGCGAGGGGTGAACGGGTGTTTGGAGGGGCCGGCACGTGGTTCGTGCCCGGCGGCCTCGGGGGCTCACACCAGCCCTGGCAGCGACGCCTCTGTTTCTGCTTGACGTGTCGAGCTCCTGAGTCAGACTCTCACTCGCCGTCAAAGGCCTCTGCCGTAAAACAAGTCTGCAGAGCTGCAGAGCTGATTCGAGCCTCTTTTTACAGATCGAGGTTCCTGAGACCCAGAGAGGGTGAGTAGGGACCTGGAGCCGTACAGTCAGCGGCTGTGACCAGGTGTCCAGGGACATGTCCCCTCCCCGACTTGGAGCAAGGCCTTCCAGATCCTGGAAGGTCTCCGGGTCCCTGCTGGACACCCTCACCCTTGTCACCCCAGCGTCCACATGAAGCTTCTAAACCGATCCTCGTGATAAACGAGGTGGTCACAGACGCCACCTGGGTTCAGGCACTTTCTGAGGGCTTCCCGTGAATGCATTCCTGTAGTGACTGCTGACGACTCCCGTGTGTCATTTGGAGCAGTATGTCCAGGCTTGGCAGCAACTCAGGCTGGATTCCGGGTGCTGGACTCTGGCCATGTCTCTGTCCCAGGAGGGACAGGCTAGAGCCACCCCCTCCTTGCCGCTGTGCCCCGACCTTCCCAGCTGGGGGGGGCCAGGCCTCCGTCCGGCACACAGTGCCCCTCCTCACGTTCAGACTGGCGGTCTAGACGCTCACCTGCCTTTTTGTTCTGCAGGGTCAGGGTTAGGGACCAGCCCCAGAGAGTAGGGTTTGGGCCGAGGCAGGAAGGAATCTTCCCCACGAGAAGAGAGGAGCGGGGTGGGTGAAAGGGCACCGGTTTCAAAGGCAGCGGCTGGAGCCTCTTTCTGCCCGGGGAGTGACCAGCCAGCCCTACCAACAGAACATGCCCCGATATGCAGGGACGGAGGCGGCTCGGGCCAGAAGCTCGCTGTGAAACCCAATCAGGTGACGCCCACTCGGGCCTGTGTGCCAGAGCAGCTCAGCTGACGACGTCTAAATAAAACCCACGGCCTGTGCCAGGCGCTGCGGGCCGGGGGCAGCGCCCAGCGGGGCCCGAGCCCAGGGAACCCCGGGGGAGAGGATGCCGCCCCCACGAGCCCCTGCCTCGCGGGATTGGGGTGCTCGCCATGTCCCGGTGCTTCGTGAGGGGTGGGGTAGACAGAAACATCCCCACAGCGTGGACCCCGAAGCCGCCTCATCCCTGGCCCTTGGTGTCCCTGCCTGGCGCTGGCCAAGGGAAGGTGCAGACTACAGTGTGGTGCTCTGGTCCCAGGTCCAGTTCTGAACCAGCAGGGTCTGTCACCTCTTGGAGCCCTGGTGGCCTCACCTGTGAGCTGGGGACATGAATCCCCACACTAATTCCTCACGGGAAGAACGGGGACGGGATTTGTGAGACAAGCCACCCTCCTGCCTGGCACGGCGAGTGCCACCACTCTTACTGCTGATGATTGTGACATTGCTTAGTCTTGGGAGATGGGGACAGACGTGAAGGTGCCGCCTCCCTGGTGAGTTCAGTGGAGGCCATGGGCAGAAGCCACTGTGGGTGGGCCGGCTGCCAGTCAGGAAGAGAAGTGGGGGGCGGCCGTGGAAGCCCAGGGCGGGGAGCCATGCCCGGGATGAGAGTCAGGCTGGGTGGGGCTCGGCTCTGCCCGGGACTTGCTGTGTGACGTGGCCAGTCACTTGCCCTCTCCGAATGGCCTGTTCCCACCAGAAGGCGCCTCCCCGCTCTGCTGTCCTGGGGAGATGCCCCAGCATCGAGGCGGCACAGGGCGCTCATCACACGCTCAGGCCTCGGTACCTGCTGGCCCAGGCTTGGGGACAGGACGGG